ACAAGCCTGATGATGGCAGATGAGATTCTGCTGAAACGTCGCTACAACTTTAAAAGCACAACTATAATGAAGTGGGAAAATACCCGAACAAAGCTGAATACCATACATATAAATACCCGTGAAAACTTAAGAATGAATAATATACATACATGCATACATATATAAAATTTTATATAAATTTTAAAGTACAATTAATTAAATGTTTAATTAAATGTGTCTATTCAGCTATTAATCCTTATTCATGTTAACATCTGCTTTTTAATATATTTTTTAGAATATGGTAAAGCAGAAAGCCCTGAGAGTATTAAAACAGAAGCGAATGTAAGTGTCTTACTCTCTAAACATTTGTGTTCAAACAGATCGTCAATCTGAATAGGTATTAACATGAGTCCTAAAGTTATATTTTTAAATAGGCTACTATCCCGCCATTCTATTGAACTGGACTTGGAAATAAGATTGGCCTTGTCATTCATTTTGCACTGAATATTCCATCTAGGGTGCCTTTAACCCTAATTTCCTGGTTGCAGTCCATTTCATTGTTTTATAGCAGAGAAAATTGAAAAAAAGCAAGGTTCTTAGGATGGAAAAAGAAGGAACCTGAATAAATTGGAAGGAATAGGAAAGACGAACACAATACACAATTATTACATTGGAGGAGCCTATGTTGGGAAAAGAAAAATCAAGAATCCAATAGCACTTTTTTAAAAAAAATAAAGTTTTATTGAGTTTTAACAAAACAAATAAAACATCTTATTAGAGTAGAGCATCGTTCCGGGTTATCACATTTCCATACAGACACAATTTCATATGCATATTCATCTTATGTATTCAACTTCATGTTTTATTACTCTTTTTCCAACTTCTCACTATTTCTCCCTTTACTTCTCTTAATTTTCTTTCATGGTTATCTCATTTTCTTCTTATTCAATTATATTTCTTTTACCTAAATTTCTATATCTTTTTATTCATTGTACTTATACTTTCGTCTGTCTTGTTTACAATTTCATATGTTCTCTTCCAACATTCTTAAGAAGCAAAATTCCCCCTATGATTGCCAATCGAAGTGCAACACCTTTAAATCTTATTTTTATTATCATTGAAATCTCATTAAACATTGAATTTGTGCATTCTAAAATTATAACATTCAAATTTCTAATATCTATTTTATATCATGTAGATCTCATCATTCAGACTCTGCTTAGTACTTCCCCTTGAAAATGTAAAAAGAAACATACAAAAATATATATATATATATATATATATATATATATATATACATATATATATATACATATATATATACATATGTATACACACACACACACACACACACACACACACACACACACACATATATATATATATATATATTAGTAAACAAAATAGTTATTCAAAATCATTCTAGTACTGGTATGAACCTTGTAAATCTTTCACGTTTCTTTTCAATATTTTATCAATCTTTAGAAACAATTGCAATGTTTCCCTCTCTTCTTTATTATTGCATTATTATAAATAAACATGCCATTACATAACAATAATCTCATAGATTATTTACTTATTTCATTTCTAACTCATTATAGTATTCTACTGTCACAACACTATCTTTTGTACCTTGGCAGAATCCTCACTTTTAACTTAATTTAACCATTGTCTCTGTGTTTTCTAGCTGAGCAAATACCTTTAATCCTAGTATGTTTCCCCTTTTTCTTTATTTCCTGTTTTTGTCTCTGATAAGTTCTTTCCCTTTCTATCTTTCCCCCCTTTTTCTCACCCCTTTTTCGTACCCTTCTCTCTCTAATTTTCCCTTCTGTAGTTTTCTTTTCTGCTTCTCCTTGCTGTTATACTTCTTTTTCAGACTATTTTTCTTTTTGGCTGTTCCCTTTGATTTCAAACTTTTAACTCCTTTCCCCCTTTTCCCCTTATTACCACACTTTGCATTATTTGATCATTGAAAATGTCTTCTTCTTTGTCTCACCCTTCTTCTTGCTCTTGAAGCTTTTCCTTTTGCTTTTCATAGTTTAGGATCTCCATTTCAAAAAATTCAAATACAAAGCCAAAGGATCTTCCTCCCCTTTCTGCATCTTCTTTCTGTTTTTTAAGACTCATCTTCAATTTCTCCAGGAGTGATGGCATTTTAAACACTTTTGAACAACCACCCGATTGACTTTAAGTAAAAACAGAAAAAGAAAGAAAAAACCAATGCCCAAAACTTTTTTTTTTTAAATCACCAAATGCTCCCAGACTGTTCCTTCTTGTTTCTTTCCTTTACTTTTCCTTTCCATGGGTTACTGTATCTTTTAATAAGATTTCAGTTACAATATATCCTCAGGAGTCTTTTCAAAGTTTCACTGTTAATCCTCTTTATTTTTCCAGGTGGCACTCCATTTTTCCATTATTCCACCCTTTTGCCTCCACTCTTCTCCTTTTTAGGGCTTTAAAATGACTAAGAAAAATCTTTATTATCCTTTTGACACTTAGTTTAAGGTTGCCTATTAGTGTCAAAATAAATTAATATAAATTTCTTTCCATACCATTTGTAATTGTCAATATAAAGGTTAAAAAAGGGTTTTTAATCTCCTTTTCTCTCTCCTTCTTCTGGGTACTTTTAGATTCAGGGTACCTTGCTTAGATGTTCTCTGTTGTTTAGCCCGGTCTGTCCTGCTTCCTCTTTGTCTTCCTCCTGCACAATCTTATCCAGTCGGGTTCTTCTTTGCAACCACTGCTGCAACCACCTTTGGGGAAGGGAGTTTAGACCAGCCAAGGAGGAGAGATGCGGCTCCCCTCCACTCAGCTAGCAATCTTCCCCCTCTTCACCACCTCTACGGGGTGGCTTCAGCCCCGAAATCAAAGGATCGGGGCACTAAAGTGGCAAGCAAAGATCAAAACCACGCACGATCACAGATTTCAGTCTGTCGCTGAAGAGACCCAAACCGGAAGTCCTAGAATCCAATAGCACTTTTATTGTTTGTAGGAACAGATTCTTAATTATTAATTACATTCCATGAAAATAATTCTTTTTTTAGGTTAACAGAGTAAATCAATGAAATAAAACACAAACATAAAATTATAACTACATCACTGAAGCCATGATAAGTTTTATAGGCAGGCTAAAGGAACAGAATTGTTCTAGTTTCATAGGATTATACATAAAGTAAACCAGAGTTGTCTAGGTATTTCATCAAATTGCAAGTTATAAAACATATCCTTGCAAAACACGCAATAGTCACAAGGACATTAACATTTAGTCTTATAAACCGACTGGAGGCATTCATGTGAGATTTGGTAGCTATTTGGTGTAGTGGTAAAGGTGCTGGCCTAGAAAACAGTCTATGATTTTTTTCTTATGAAAGCTATTTTTTATTATCTTAAAAGCCAAATGTCTAAATTTGCCCTATTGTATAATATGTTCTCAGCAAGTTTTCCACTGTAATGCCAATTTGTCCTTGCAGCTGTTAGAATGTCTCGTAACAAACTGTGATATTTTTCATTTATTTTCTGGAATTTAATGGTATTATTTCTATCTTCAAGGTTCTTTTCCCATAATTTATTGTAATTGTTCTGAAATATTTTCTGGATTTTTACATTCCAAGAATTCATTGTTTTAATTAGCTTCCTTATAGTACCTATGGTTGCATAATGATTAGTTTTACATCATCTGCAGTTATGATATTCTGTGTTGGCAAAGATTGATTTAAATAATTAGTCACTCTAAAGAAATGGACTATGTAAAAAGCCATTTCCGATGTAGCACATACTGGTTTTGTTGTGAAATCAGTTTAGTATTTTAACATGTTTTGTCTGCTTCAAGACTGGTTTAGTCATCCTTGATGATTTAGTGCCAGAGCCACCCAATAGGGAGCATGACTCCTCTGATTTTGCTCTCTCAAAAACATTAGTTATCACTGACCTTGTTATTCCTCTATATCAGGATAATGTGTCAAAATAAAAGTAAAAAAAAAAAAGGATGGCAAGGATAATGAAGTGACAGTTCTCATTCTTCCTACCAAAGATCTAGGTGAAGGGCCAGGTTTTTATGGCTCTTCTAAACAACAGTAGAATTGGGGCTATTAGGTTGTGGGAAAAATCTCAGTCCAGAAAGCAAATACTACTACAAAAAAGGCATGCTTCTGGAGTCTTGAGAGAGATTACATGTACATTCTTTAAAGTAGGCTTGTCCAACCCGCGGCCCACGGGACGCATGCGGCCCAGGTCACCTCGTAATGCGGCCCAGTGCCCACCCCAACCTTCGTGCCAGAGCCAGCGAGGAGGAGGAGGAGAGGCAGGCACGAGGCGGGGCGAGGCGAGTGCCAGGCCAAGCAGCAAGAGAAAAGGCGGGCGCCGTCAGAGCGCCACCTCCTGCTGTTGCTGCCGCCGGCACCGCCGCCACTTCTGCCCCCGCCGCCGCTGCCCCCCGCCGCCGCCGCTTCTGCCCTCACTGCCGCTTCTTCCCCCGCCACCGCTACTGCTTCTGCCCCCGGCGCCACCCCTGCCGCCGCCGCTTCTGCCCCGCCGCTTCTTCCCCCACCACCGCTGCTGCTTCTGCCGCCGCCGCTTCTGCCCCGCCGCTTCTTCCCCCACCGCCACCGCCGCTTCTGCCCCTGCCGCTTCTTCCCCCACCGCCGCCGCCGCCGCTTCTGCCCTCGCCACCGCTGCTGCTTCTGCCCCGCCGCTGCTTCTGCCCCTGCCGCCGCCACCGCCGCTTCTGCCCTCGCCGCCGCTTCTGCCCCCGCCACCGCTGCTGCTTCTGCCCCTGCCGCCGCTTCTGCCCCTGCCACCGCTGCTGCTTCTTCCCCCGCCGCCACCTGCTTTAAAGCATCTCTCAGGACGTCGATGGCTTGCTCAAATATGACATTGTAAAGGTCTTGTTCACCTTCCATTGCCCCATACTCTTCTTCAGTGAGTGGTGCCCGTCGTAGTCTCCCTTGGCTTCACCGGGAAAAAGTTACTCCAGAGGGCTTTCCTTTCCAATCCTCCGTCTTTCTAATACTTTTGGACCACAGGGTCTTCAGCTGGTTCCCCAGGGCTTCTGTCCACTCCTCCAACATGGGAAGTCTTCCCCTGTCCTGTCTCTTGAAGCATCTTCTTCCCAATTCTTCATTTCTTCCTGCTCACTCCCATGGATGGACGTTCCATGCATGGACCCCACAGTAAATACAAGCCTTTGGATTGAAAGTTATTGCCAATCTGCTTAATGTCAGCCTGTCCCAGCTCAGAATGGGATGACTCCACATCATTATCTCGACCTGGCAAGAAAGAGGCAGCCTTCTTGCCACTGCCAACTCATTGCTGCCATCTCTTTGCAAGACATCTCAGCACCATAAATTCATTGTGGGGACAACTCACTGTGGGCGTTGACTGTAGAGCTGGGAGGGTGAGCAAGTGGGCTGTCAGAGGAGGGCAGTGATAGGCAGGGCTTCACTGGATGGGAAGTGAGTGGGGTGGGATGTCAAAGTGGGAAGCCCCTGCAAGTTTGGTTCTGTTGTAGTCAAACAGCACTCCTACAGTGCTATGATACAATTTACAATTAGAACTAGGTTATAAGGTCCCTTTTGTGGTCAAATCTTCCATTACAGTCAAATCTTCCATTACAGTCAAGTCTGATGTTAACTCTTATCCAATCAGCAATAAGTAAAATCAGAACCATTTTTCTCCTCACAACAGACTTTAAGAGTGCCATTTAGAAAGTCTTTATTCTTGATTCTAAAACTGTGGAAAATCAGTGAAGTTAGTTTAAAAGAAGTAAAATGCTCTAGGAGACTTAAATTTCTGAAATAGTTTCCAGTTTCCTTATTCTGTTCTAGTTTTATGCAATTCCTCACCATTTTAAAATCAAAACCTTCAGAAATGATGTTGCTTAAAAAAAAAAGAAAAGGAAAGAAAAAGAAAATCAAGTTGCAGTCAAGAACAGCTTCTTTTAGAGCAAAAAATAAATATACAAAAAATGAGTCTTATGAAGCAAGAACAAATTTATTGCCTATTTTAAAGTATTTTATGAAGACTGGTTCTCCCACAGTGAACTTGCTCCAGGGTTTCCTGTCCCCAGCTAGAGACTCATCTAATCACTGCTCCCAGAAGCTCTCAGAGAGTTTCCAGCAACCCAGTGAAACAAGAGGGTTGATTTCTAGAACTTCTCTTTCCCAGGGAGATTTCTTCAAACTTAATAACCAGCTTTAACCACAAACCATGAAAAATTGGTATCTGTTGAAAAAGATACCTTCACTTTGTAATTTTTTCAAAAGAAAGTCACTTGAAGGAGTAATATTTACCTTCCAAGAGCAAAAATTTAGATTGCATTCTATGGAGGAAGCCAAGGATTTCTCGATTAAACATAAACTAAATTTGGACCCAGCTGAAGCAATGGATATAAATAAACAAACCTCGTATTGGAGGAAGAGGTGATAGAGATGGTTGCATAGGAACTAGCTAAACTATGTAATGATGGAGAATAAGTATATAACATGGAACACTAATAATAAGTATTAATAAGTATATAACATGGAATATTAATGGGGCACAGATGCGTCATCCAAGCGTAAACAATATATCTGAGAAAATTGAGTGTTGATATAATTTGTCTTAAAGAAACACATTAAGATGCAAGATAATATCTAAAGACTGGAGGAATCCATATCTGCTGGTCTACAAAAGACTAATGGAGTTGTTATGTACATAAAGCCTCATTTTAAATCTGTCACCTGTCCTACTCAGTCATCTAGCACAGAAAAATTCCTGGTCCTTTTCTCCCCAAGAGTATACTTTACTGAAGCTTAAATGGTTACAGAAGTAGCAGAAGCTGAATCTGAGGTTTTCTCATGCAAAAACAAACAAACAAACAAAAAAAACCAAAGGAGAGGAAAGTTCTTTCTTCCCCACCCAGGCATCCCCCTGGTTATCCGCAAATGTCGAATCACTGGTACTTATATATTGTTCAGGAAACAGGTACTCTGTTCTCAGCTCTGCATATTGTTATTGACCTTAGGTGGCTGGAGCTTCTCACATGGCTCAGCTAGGCTCCCCTTTCTTACATTACAATATTTCTCCCCCCCGCCCCCCCATGCTAATGTTCGGCTGCCAACTCATGAAGCTTGGATAGATGCAATGCAGCCATGATATGCTGTCCCTCCAGAAACAAGTCTAGTCCTACAAAGCAAAATACAACAAAAATTAGCAGCATATCATATGCAAATAGGGCACTTGGGTCTTGATTCTAGCAGCGAGAATCAAGGATTTCTTTAACTTCAAAATATTCTCCTAGGAAGGAGAGAGCTTCATGGCAGGACGCAAGTGTGCATCTCAGGTTGATAGGTTTCAAAAGACTACAATGGAAAACTGGATGCATTTTAAGATTCCTAGAGGGGAAATTTCAATTCAACTGTCATTGGATTTATGATCCTAGCAACAGGAAAATGGGCCCACATTTTGGGACCAGGTTTGTTGCTGTGACTCCATGAAGATCTGGCCTTTTGTCAAAAAGATAGTTAAGAGACAATGTTTTGAATATTATACAATACCATAATGAGAAACAGGTAACTTTAATATTTTTAGATGAACAGAAGGCCTTCAACAATTGTAGTTTTCATGTTAAAATTTCTGGAAGATAGGAACTTTGGGAGAAATTTAATCAAGGTGTCAATGTGATTTATATCACAGCAAGCGAAGATTATTATTAATGGAGACTTAACTAAATCATGTGAAATCAAAGAGCATACAAGGTGAAAGGATGCCCCTTATTTCCTGTTGTATATATATTGATGCTGAAATTTTGAATAAGGATATTAGAGAATTTGCTGGTTATTTAGCTATATTTATTTTAAACTCAAATACCATAATAGAACATATGAAAAACCATCAAGAATATTGGATGGTCATTAAGAATTAAATGAGTTTGGAGCGTTAGCAGGATTTAAAATAAATAAACTTGTTAAGAATATAAACTCCCAGGACTATGAAATATTGATAAAAAGTTGGTGGAGAAAAAGGTGAAATACCTGGGGTTACATTGACAAATATACATTTTAAAGTATTTCAAAATAATGTTGTGCGTCTTCAAAATTGTATCAAAAGGAACCTTATTAAAGTAGATAAATTGCTACTATCATTATTGGATAGAATCTCCATAATTAAAATGAATGCTTTATTAAATATGCCTTTTCTTTTTCAGGCTTTACCAATACTTATAACTGATATTCCATTTAAACAATGGCAGATGGGAATCTCAAGTTTATATGACAAGGAAAAAATAAAGATATAAATTATTGCAAGATGCTAAGGAAAGAGGAGGTTTGGGTTTACTAGATTTGAAATTGTACTTTGATGCCTGTTTTTCGGTCTGGCTTAAAGAGTAGGTAACTCTCCAAAACAAGAGGTTACTCAAGCTGGAGGGGCATGAATTAAGATTTGGATGGCACACCTATATATGATATGATAAGGTTAAGTAAATGTTGTTTTCAACAACCATTTTGTTAGACTTGCCATCCTAACAGTTTGGAATAAATATACAGTAACGTAAGGTTCTCTACGAAGAGCTCTTTAGGTATAAGCCTAGAAAAGAAATGATGGCAAGGCCAGTCTGGTGGACTTATGGTCAAATAATATTTTTTAAATTATGGTGACCCTTTCTTCAAAGAGGGAATTAGAAGTACTGTATATAGCTACCATTTTTTAAATGATGAAAATATTGCTAAGGTTTATAAATTGTTATTGAAATTGAACTTGGAGAATGAATATGTGAAACATTATATGATACAATGGCCAAAGACTTTTGGATATAATGCTTAAACAATGTCAAAAATGTGATGAAAGATTTAAAATTTACATTAAATTATAATTTAAAAGAATTTTTTTATAAAATGATGAACCCTTGGTATCAAACACCAAATAAATTGTCAAAACTGTATAAAGGAATTTCAAACATGTTAAAATGTAAATGTAAGCAAAGAAATTTTTACCATTTATAGTAGTCTGTAACAAAGCAAAGAAATATTGGAGCAAGATTTAAATCTTAATTCAGAAGATTCTTAAGGTGAATATAAAGGTAAAACCAGATATATTTTTTGAGCTTAAGGAACAGATAACTTTTTAAAAATGGAACTTTGATATGATATATATTGATAGCAATAACACTCTATGAACAAAAATAGGACACTTTGGTTCCCACAGTGAATGAATGGTGCAAAAATTGATGGGAGTTAGCAGAAATGGCTAAATTGACTACTTTGATTAAAGAAAAAAACCTAGTTGATTTGGTTTTGGAAGACAGCACCTTGCTGACCATCATAGATCCCAAAAAGCTAATACTTGATACTTGAATGGAAATCTACTAGAGAACTTTGGCTCTGATCTGGCAAGTAAAGAAAATCCCCAAAGGTGGCATTAGTAAAACATATTATTCCCAAGAAAACTCATTTACTCATCAGGAGATTTTGTTTTTGAATCATTGAAAACTAGTTACATTTACTACAAGAACTTATATTGCTTTTTGACAATAATAATGATTTGATTTGATTTATTATAGGAACTAACATTCTCATTTTTGTTTCAAGTTCTAAATTTGGGGACTGGGACTTGAATTTGCACTGTTGGATTTGTAGTATTTATAACAGACAAGTAGTACTGCACTTGTGTCCTATTTTTAAGCTTACATATTATTAATATAGGTACGAAAACCAACGGGATAATCTTGCCCAGCAATCTTTCAATATGGAACAAGCCAACTATACTATCCAGTCCCTAAAAGATACAAAAACTACGGTAAAATTGCCCTTTATTACATTTGTATTTATTTATTCAATAAGTATTAATGAGTCTAACTATTTTATCTGATAACTTTTCTAGGTTGATGCTATGAAACTAGGAGTGAAGGAAATGAAAAAAGCTTACAGCAAAGTAAAAATTGATCAAATTGAGGTGAGTTTTAATGTTGCTTTAAAAAAAAAACCCATAGTCTTCTTTTCTGGCCTGTAAGCAGAAACAAGCAGGACAATTAAATAAAGAAAGCAATAGAAATGAAGAAACTAAAATGCTCTGGGACTCTAGAACAGTTTTTTCCCCGAAAGCCATCACTCTGCTAAACAAGTAATTCCCTCAACCCTGTTCAACTATTACAAAGTCTGCACTACTGTTACTGTTAATCTTGTCATCACTCCTTACCACCCATCCCCTCCCACTTGTGACTGTATGACTATAACTTTGTCACTTGTATCCTTACGATTTATATTGACTGTTTCCTATTATGATTTGATTGTTGATTGTACCCTATGACTATCATTAAGTGTTGTACAATATGATTCTTTATTCTTAATGAATGTATCTGTTCTTTTATGTACACTGAGAGTATTTACACCAAGACAAATTCCTTGTGTATCCAAGCACACTTGGCCAATAAAGTATTCTATTCTTATCTAGAATTCAAACTGGCAGACACCTGTCACATCACACCCCAAACTTAACAATTGTTGACAAGAAAGACGAAAAAGTCTGAATAGCTGCCACATCCACTATCCAGATTTCTTCATTTTTCTTGTCAACAGCTGTTAAGTCTGGAATGTTATGTGACAGGTGTCCTTATACCTGGAGACAACAGAAGAGAAGAGAAAGAACTGGAGAAGACAGTAAAATACAAAGACCTGCAAATAGAAATAGCATGACAGTGGCAAAATAAAGCAAAGGTAGTACCAATAGTCATAGACGTAATCCCGAAACAATTGGAACACCACTTGAACAGCATTCACAAATTCAGTCAATTGCAAAAGGCAGCTTTACATGGAACAGTTTTATCCTGTGACGATATCTGTATCACCATCTAAACCAGGCTTGTCCAACCTGCGGCCCAAGGGCCGCATGCGGCCCAGGTCACCTTGTAATGCGGCCCAGTGCCCACCCCAACCTTCGTGCCAGAGCCAGAGAGGAGGAGAAGCAGGCGCGAGGCAGGGCGAGGCGAGCGCCAGGCCAAGCAGCAACAGAAAAAGCAGGCGCCGTCAGAGCGCCACCTCCTGCTGTTGCCACCACCGCCATCGCCGCCGCTTCTGCCCCCACCGCTTCTGCCCCCGCCATCTCCGCTTCTGCCACCGCTGCTGCTTCTGCCCCCGCCGCCACTGCCCCCGCCGCTGCTTCTGCCCCCGCCGCTGCTGCTGCTTCTGCCTTCCAGTCCTGCCTCATCCAGCCGGGCCATTTGCAGGAGGAGAGGGGGGCGCGCGGGGCGCGTCGGCTTCCCCCCCCCCCCCCCCCCGCAAAATTTGGCCAGAAAATAAACCATGATAAAAAAACCGTGATAAAAAAACTGTGATAAAAAATAAATATTTTTTAATAAATAATTAATAATAAAAACATCTCACTAACTTCATTTCCAAATAAATTTAATATGTTAACTATGTTTTCTATGTTTTTTTTGGATGATCAGGTATCGTTACTGTTATTTTATTTTATGTGCGGCCCAAACCAAATTTTCATCTTCTAATGTGGCCCAGGGAAGGTGAAAGGTTGGACACCCCTGATCTAAACGGACTGATCTAGTCTGAACATCTGGCTGACTATGCAACTAAGCATAATAAACCACAATGAGGCACTACCTTGACATGATTCTGGTCTTCTGTGCTTTGAGGAAAATAAGAACTATGTCAGGGGTTTAACAATATTGTACAGGTCTCATCAGGGGAGTCAAATAGTGTCTGTCCCATAAAAATGTCATGACAAAGTAACAATGATGCATTGGAAGATCTGCAAGAAGTATTGTTTGCCTGCAAGCAAGAACTGGTGGGACCATAAAATAAAAATATAAAAAATTAAGAAGCTAAAATTCTCTGAAACTGTAGAATTCAAACAGACAGCACCTGCCACGTAATACCCCAGACTTAACAATTGTCAATAAGAAAGACAAAAAAGTCTGGATAGTGGATTTGATAGCACTTGGAGATAGCAGAAGAGAAGACAAACAACTAGAGAAAATAAAGTACAAAGACACAAATAGAAATAGATGCCTTGGGTGCAATCCCAAAACAACTGGAGCACCATTTGAACACTATCAGCACTGACAAATTCACCACCAGTTAAATGCAAAGGACTCAGACTAGCTTACATCCAATGACAGTACTCTTAACACCATCAAACATCCATATCTACCTATCTCAGGTCCTTGGAAAGAATTTGATAGCTGGCGAAAATGCCAATTCCAGTCTGAACATCTGGCTATACAACAAACCATAATAATGACATTCATTAAGTTATTAATTATTATTGACAATTTCATTATTAATCAATTGCAAAAGATAGGTTTGCTCTGAAGAGCTTATATCCTGTAATGATGCCTCTTAATGCCATAAAACATCAACATCTGCCTATCCCTGGTACTTGGGAAGGATTCAATAAATAGATAAAAATGCCACATCCATTCTAAACATCTGTGTGATAAATAGTAATACACACAATCTCTCTCTGTGTGTGTGTGTGTGTGTAAAATATGGTTTGTTATATAAGTTAAACTCTTTATTTGATTTATATTCCACCTTATTGTTAGCACTTCAAGGTGATATACGTAGCATTTCATCTAATTTTTCCCCAACAACCCTGTCAAATAGATTGAGATGAGAGTGAATAACTTTCATGAGTTGCCAGTTTAAGTTAAACAGCATTTCTACTGTGCTATATTTTTAAAACATGAAAAGAACGAGAACAGCTGGATCCAGACTTAAAGTATTAAACTAGTGGAAATCATAGTTTACTTTCACTGATTTCAAAAAGTCTAATCTATAGCTTGGTTCTCATATTCAATTCACAATGGTTAAATAAATCATGGTATATTGTAGCTCAAGTCCAACAGAAGTATATCTTATGTCAGTACAAATATGAAATATTCATCAATTACAGGATTTAAGAGAATACAGGAAGGCTTTGTTAATTTCAGGCAAATGTATATTTTATAATCCAGGACCTGCAAGACCAGTTGGAAGATATGATGGAAGATGCTGGTGAAATTCAAGAAGCATTGGGTCGTAGTTATGGAACTCCAGAGATAGATGAAGATGACTTGGAAGCAGGTGAGTTACCACTAAATATTGATGTAATTGTATAGTCAAGGCTTGGTGAGTTCAGTATAGGTAATTTAATTTTTATTTATACAGTATTGTCTTGATTATAAGCAAACAGCAGAAAGTGTAAACATATTTTTATGTGGGAATCAATAATGCAGCAAATATAAACATTTCTGATTCTCATCAGTTTCAATTTATTATCGCCATTTGCCAGCAAATAAAAATAAATGAAGAAAAAACCAAAAAAATAATCCTTTATATTGCATTCAGTCTTATATTTCACTGTGGATCTCATGCTGCATCTTGAAGCTAGGTAATCAAACTACAGAACAGTATATTGTTTCATTAAAATGCTTGTCTGCAAAAAGGGAATATTTTTGTAAAAGCAATATATAAATTAAAATGGCTTTTAATTGGTTTTCCAGAGATGTTAGTGTTTTTAATTGCTGTACTGTTTGAATTTAAATCAGATATAACAACTTCACTCCAAATTTAAATCAGATATAACAACTTCACTCCAAATTTCAGTCATTTATTAGACATTTTCTGTCCTCAACATAATTTTAGAACTAGAAGCACTGGGTGATGAACTTCTAGCTGATGAAGACAGCTCCTATCTTGATGAAGCTGCAAGTGTTCCATCAATTCCAGAAGGCATGCCAAGTGAAGTGAAAAACAAAGTGAGTCACTCTTCACCCCCTCACTCCCACTATCACATTGCACATAGAAGTCAATAGGCATTTAGAGAGCAATATTCACCAAAACTTAATTGCTCATCTTTTAAGCAACAACAATAGGCATATTAGAAGTATTTGTTTTTATTTTCATTTCATTGTTGGTCTTTTATTGCTGTGATAATTTGAGAAGTTATTTAAGGGGTTACTAACAGTTTAATAGGCTTTTTCTTAAATTCATGTCAAATATAACAATTAGCATAGTCATAGTATGTTGACTAAGGCAAAGTGACAAAGTTCACATAATTCTAACCTATAAATCATGATTTAAAATATAATAAATGAATTCATATATGACATAGTGTAACGTATTATGTCTAATACATTACATATTTTTTAACATTTTTAGATTTATAAGGCTGTTCAATTCAAACAGTTCTGGGTGATGTACCATGCAAAAAATGAACAGTAATAAAGAACAAACAAACAAAACCAACTATGTACACTGAATATATATAATATATAAAATAGCGAGTAAGCAACCGAATAATTAAAAGAGCTGTTAATGCCTGCAGGAAAAGCCAGGTCTTCATAATTGCGTAAAGGCAAGAAGTGTTGGGGCCTGCCAAAGATTGTTCTAGACTAGAGAATGAGGCAACCACAGAAAAAGCAAGCTTCCTTTGTCCTGCTTACCTATTTTCCATCATAAAGAACAAGGATAAAATATTTTGAGAATAATAGCTGCAGGAAACCTGAAATTAACAGCTGCCATCTTGTTTTCACATTCCTGGAGCAGCTAGGAATAATAGGTACATACTATCCAGATTTAGGGGTGGGGAAATGGTTGAAGGAATGATTTTTAAAACATTTTTGAAAACATTAGGACAAACAATATTCTACATAGGGAATAGTAACAGCTTTTGAAATTTTTCTGAAACTCATCAAAATAAAGCACAATAGTTGTGCTTTCAGTTTTCTTGTATTGTTGTTTGCTGTTATTTATACTTGTACATAATAGGCTATTTAGATCTTCTCAACTGAATAATTAGTATTCTAGCAGCAAAAGAGAACATGCACACCGTGCTTACATAAAGTGGAACTCAGCAAACCAACCACCTCCCACCATCATCTTTGCATTTTAATAGTTCTAAAACTTAGTATCAAAAGGACAAAGTGTATGCATAGAGGGCACAAGCAGCCAAAGCTCAAAAATTTTATGAAAACAAACACACATACACAATTATATAATAATTAATGTAGCCTTGTATTCACACTTCAGCAGCATTAAGCAGCACTTCTGCATGAAGTCCTTCTACGAGAGATATTACTAGTTTCTAAATTTGAAAATAAAACAAATTGTAATATACATATAAACACGCATACACACACATATTCCTTGTATATCTGCCAATAAAAATAAAGCCTATGTTGCACATATAGTGCACTGGCCCAACTACGGGAAATTTTAATTTTTCCTTAGCAACTTTTTAAAACAAGTAACTTAACAGGCATGCTAATAGCCCTGTAGTTGTCAGCATAGATTTATCTCGTTTGTTCATTTTAACTCCCACATCCCCTTATCAGTGATAAATATATTCTTTAAAAAAATAGCAGTCCTATTGCTATGTGGTTAGGATGGAAGCATTTTATAATTTGTCATGATTGGGTACTTTTTTCAATCACAGCTCCATTATAGTTCTTAATTATCAGGTTTGGTTTGGTTCTGGGTCAGAATATGATTTGTTCTGCCCTCATAGCAAAATTCTCCAAACACATGTATTTCACTCCAGACTTAAAACACATTTGATAATCATGTGAGGACTGAAACATTTTAAGCATCCTTTTTCATATGAAAGTCAGCTAAACTTTTTATTTGATTATCTTCATATAGGATTTTGGATTTATAACGTATCAATTTGTATTGTTAACTTACTAAGTATTTTGTTCAGTTGAAGTAAAACAATAATATCACAGTTAAGTATTTATAAGTATGAGTATTTTTACTAGATCAGCGCTTGACATAAATAGATGCAATATTTTCCTGCTTGCTGGGGCAGATTATTCAGAATTTAAAATAAGATTATCGTGATAGTAATCTCTCTTTAAAATGGGTTTTCATAGTTTGGGGGAAAAACAACAGTTTATCATAAATTATGTATTTTCAATTTCATAGGATGGTGTACTGGTGGATGAATTTGGACTCCCACAGATTCCTGCAACATAATTATGAAGTTCAAAATGAATGTTTTTTTCATATACACTTCCGAGCAAAAACAATTGTGGGGATTGAGTCTGTACTTTTGCAATATCACGTAATAACAGTATGTTATAAAATAATGGATGATAATGTTTTTAGAAAATATTACAGCATTATAGTTTTTTTATTAATGCCAAGAAATTAACATTACTTTTCTTTCTGTATGATATATTCAGAGTTCTAAAACTTGGTTTTATTGTTTGCGTAAAAGTAGTACGTTAAAATATTTATAGATTATTTGTTTTAGATAATTGTGCTTTTTGAATTTGCCATCCCATTTAATTATAGGTGATTGCACTGTATAATCCATTTTGACATTCGCTGGTTATTAAAAAGAGCCACTTGATTTAATTATGTGATTTTTTTTTTAAAGATGTTTGGCTCAGTTATTATAAAAACCAATGTGTTAAAAAGTTCATCTGAAGTGTTTCTAGCTGGTATGTATGATAAGCCTATAATTTTTTCAACATCCATAAATTATTTATAAATAATATGGCTTGAATTGAAGAACATAACCCTGATTAATAGCTTACTTGATAGGAGAGTCACTTTGAGAAGAGAGGAGGTGACAGCAGGTAGTTCTAGATTTTAACCAAGTCTTGTGCTTATGCTATGGTATAAACTTGAAACAAAATATTTGGGGGTTGTAATAAAAAGTTTTACTTAAGATTGCCATAGTTACTGGCATTCAAATTTCCAGAAACAGTGGCTGATGTAAACCTAGGATCCAGAATGGATGGTTTTGCCAGGGATGCAGCTCTACTTGGTGAAGTTCAGATTGTTGCAGCATGCTTCTCTGCACAAGAACAGAGACCAGAGACCAAATGTCAACCCCCCACCTGGAAATTAATGGTCTTAGCACACTGGAGGTGGTTTTTTCAAATATTTATTATCGGTGGCCTGGTTGAAACATAGAATAACCATTTCCTAGTCAATCAGTAATGTACTTCTAAGCATCTCTTCTCATGCTCAAGCCTGCAGCCTTGTATTGTATGTGGATTTGTTATAGTGTTTTGAATGATGAAATATGAGCACAAATGGATTGAACAACTATGGGTACTGGACTAGAGGTAAATTTATCATCTTAAGATCTAGACCACAGTATTCATGGAGGAAAAAGGTAATAGATTTTCTTATAGTTGTATCCACAAAATCCATCAAAGGGAGCTTTCTGGGACTGTCAGATAGATGACCCAGCCTTCAGTGGATCCATGACATGTGATATCTGGATATTATCTGCCTTTTTGAGTAATAGTCAAAACTATACCCAGAATTTGCTAGGGTTACTTACTGTTACTTTGAGTGATGCCATACCAAAGTTGTCTATTGCAATATCTTCTAATATGTCTGAATCTGGTTCTTTGCAAATTCCTTCATGGAGGTAGGTAAGATTATTGGATTTATTCACATCGTTGTTTTTATACTGGATCCTTATCCTGATCGCCTTGTATGTGCCTCCAAGTATTTTATACTACAGATTCTTCAAAACAGAATCTCCTGCTGACCTAAAGTAGATGGTGATGCTATCAATGATCAGCCAGGGTCCAATGTTCTGAATTTAGCCAAGCTGGGACTGCAGTTTGAGTGACTGTTACTTTGTCTTCATCCTTTCCTGTCTAGATTTAGACCAGAATTTGGCATGTAGATAGACAAAAGCAGTAAAAGAAATATTATACTATTGAGACATATAAGGCAATGCTATTCACTCATGGGCTGGGGAGTTGGACTTGCATTCTGATTGATCCATTTTCTTTGTGTTACAAGAATGTTATAGGAATTTCTGTTTCACTTTTTGGAAATCATTATGCATCTAGTAATATTTCAACTTGCTAAGACTGGTCATTGATTGCAATAAAGATATTGATTCTGATTTCTTCTTGCCTTCCAATGTTATTTAATGTCAATATGAAGTCAATGGAAAGATCATTTGCAGCTTTGAAATTACTGCTCGATATTCTGATGACATTCAGTTGTAAATCTTTAGCGCTTGGGATTTGATATTTCCAGATTATTAGCTTTAGGGCTGAATATGGAAGACCTGATTTGGAAGAATAAATTGAAACCAAACAAGATGTTACTGATCTGAGGGATTAGTTTGTTTTTGTTAGGTAGACATGTTCTGGGCACAGTTGTCAAGGTGTCCTATATCAGGGGTTGCCAGCCTTTTGGACCTCAGGGATCACCAAACTCATAATTTTAAATCCCTCAGACCAGAGACCCTGGGAAAATCCCCCCAAAAAATCTTCAGGAAAATTCCCCACCCCGTTTTCCTACCGATTGATCGTTCTTTATTTAGGATTGCAGGATACTGTCCCCAGCTTCGTTCCGGGGGGGGGGGGGTTTGGGGGGGGTTTGTGGGGGGGAGTGAGACTGACTTTTGGCTTCATGCAAGGAAAGCAGCAGAAGTCTTTCCCTCCCCCAAACTCAGCCAGAAATGAGTCTTTGTGAGACTTGTTGTGCCAGCACAGCCTCTTGAAGCAGGATGCCTTGAAGAATCCCAAGGACTCATTTCCGGCGGAGTTTGGGGAGAGAGAAAGACTTTTGCTACTTTCCTTGTGTGCAGCCAAAAGCAGAAGAAAGAAGCGGAAAAAAGCAGCCCGGTGGCCAGGCCAGGCACATGGGGTGCATGGGGCAAGTTCCCCCCGATGTCCTTCACCCCCCTCCCCTCACTACCTCATGTTGTTTGCAATGCAAGCAACACAAGCCTTGTGTTTCCACAGGCCATGTAGGCAGCACAGCCTTGTGTTCTTGCGCAGCCTGAATTGCTTTGGAGAATGCTTTGCAGGTGACAGTTCTCTGTGGACCACCAAAATTTTCTCACGGACCACCAGTGGTCCCTGGCCTACTGGTTGGCGACTACTGCTTTAAAACCCTATATGGCATAGAACTGGATTATTTGCCAGCATGCCTCTCTAAGAACCTGCCTATCCCACTAGAATAAGCATGCTCCATACTCTTCCCTGAAATCCATTCACCTAGTGGGATTTTGTGACTGCCCCTATTTTATGGAATATGCTTCCCCAGGTTTGGTGATTTGGTACGTCTCCACACTTTTAGTCTCTTGTAAAACCATGAAGATAAGGCTTTCTTTATTGAAGCAGTGGGATAGAATGGAATGGAATAAAAATGGAATGAAGATAATTGGAGCTTGCTGCCAGACATCCTAAAGGGCTGCTATAGGAACCACAATCCATCTGTTGTTATATTATCAGTTGTACAAAGACTTTTATTTGCAGTAGACCTCCCTGCTCATCTTTAAATGCTGAATGCATTCTGGCTTTATGCTACCTATTAGGTAATTTTAAAATTATATATCCATTAAAATTGCTACATTTTGTAAACCACCATACTACAAGCTGTGACTGATAATGGTTGCACAATATATTATTTGTCCAAGGCTCTTATTATGGCTTCTCCACAAGTTTCAAAGCCAAGCTTCAAATATTCAATTGTTGATAAAAGTTCCGAAGAGCACCTGTAAAAACATTCTCCAGTGTTCTTCCCTCTATCTTATCAAATTCCAGTGTCCTTGAGAGAGTTTTTCACAGTTCTCTCAGCTTCAAATAAAGTATTTTCAAATCTCTAGTTGGCAGTGTTACAAAGTTTCTTTAATCCACTCCCCCTTCTTTCCCAGAAAAAGCATAATAGAAAAAGAAGATATATATGTATATATATATTTTTTTTAAAAATTACTAAAGGGAGCCTCTATTCTAAAAAATATAAACTGTCAAAAAGGAGAGAAAGAATAGGTAGATATAAGAGAAAAAACCAGTCCAGTTAATAATTGCTAAATCGCAATAGAAGTTCAGCAAAAAAAAAAGTAAAAGTAAAAAGCCAAGCCTCACTTTGACATTTCTCTTTAAAAAATTGCCGCTAAGTCAGTTTTGTCGAAAATCTTACAGAATTCTTCTCCTTCTTAGGGTGTCCTTAAGTCCCAAATATTAATTAAAAAAAAAATCCTCACCAACTGATACACTTTCTCTTTCAGTCTCTTCCTTCCGGAGCTGTCCCAGCTTCAGCAGCTTAATGGCTGCCTCTCCGCCGATGGTAAAAGGACTTCTCCTGGATCAACCAGGGACTTTGCGATGTCCCTGGGATCAACAGAATGCACCCCTTACTATCACCATCCCTATAGGACGGTTTAGGTCCGTTGGGACCGACCAAGGAGCCCCGAGATTGCAGCTGTATTGCAGCGACGTGGCTCCGCCTTCTCCCAGGTTGCACAATATATTATGGGGATCTTAGATTCATGGCATCTGCTAAAGAGCAGATGGAAGTCATGGGCAAGAGAAGCTATTGGTCAGCCTTTGGGGCCTGAAGGAACAGAGGGTTTAAATTACAAGGATGTTTTTGCTAATTAGGGAATGGAAACTGCTGTCTGGTAAGTATTGGGTTATTTAGATGTTTATGTATTCATTTGATATTTATTTTAAGTTTGCATTGTCTTGTACAGAACTGAATGGAATTGTGTAAACTGATTATAATCTACTTATCCACCATAGCAGGTGAGCAGGGAATGCTCTCCTAACAAGATCCATTTAGCAGGACCAAGTAGAAGCACCTTCTTCATCGTGGTTCCCTCTTTGATGAACATTATCATCTTGGAAATAAATAAAACTGCTCCCCACTTTGGCATTCTTTCACAAGCTGCTGAAATATAGTTTTGCAAATGGTCCTGAGAACCCCAGAACGGGATGGACCCCATCATATGCTTTATTAAATTATTGTCACCAGGGAGATGGGGGCGTTATTTCTTTTTTAATGTTTTTGTATTGGGCTTTTATATTTGTAAACTGCCTGGAGTCACTGAATAAATTGGGTGGCCATATACATGTTCTTAAATCAATAAAAATAAATAAAAGCTGCAAGTCATATTAACACACAAATATTTTAAAGAAAATAGCTACTTCATATTAATTTACATCTGAATTAATTTATATTAACTAATAATCACAGTAACTAATAAAAATCATATCAAAACAAATGGATTGCTTTTGCTTAAGAGAATAATTCTTTAATTTATTGAACATTTTATCACTGTTTTATCTGGAAAGAAAAACTAAAATATCTACAAAATATAATAAAATCTAACCACAACCATAAACAAGCATAAAACATTTATTTTAGATGAGAACTATTCATTCCTTAATATACACACTGTCTTATCAGAATGGAACAATGTGATTTGAAAATAATTGTTTTTGGTGTGTGTCTTGATTCCAATCTATCTGACATTGTAGAAAATTAAGCAGACCTTTCCTGAATTGTTTCATCTGGTACTTCTGTTTTTACAGTAACGTATTCATTTTTTGTGTTGTTAGTTTAATGAATGCAAGCACAACTGTTAGGTATAACATAGGTCACCTAACTAGTTTGGGTAAAATAATATATATAAGCTATGATTGTTAGTTTAAGTGTGTGTCACTTTAAATGCAATGCATGTAATTTTGGGTGTGGTGTGAAACCACCATAAGAGGCAGCAAGAGGACCTGATTGATTGCTGACGATTCCCTGACGCTTTGCTGGCAATTACTGACAATTACTGGGTTGGATGTTTCATGGTTTGTTAGCTGCTTGTTTTTTCCCTACTGAAGAGTTGCTGATAAGAAGAGAGGAGTTTCTGAGTTCTTTTCATATCTCTCTACTGCGAGAAGATATATCACCGGACTGATAATTTGTAAGTGTACTGACCTCTCTTTTTCGACACTGGAATTTGCAATTGAATAATCCCTGGACGGACTGAACTAAGTGAATGATATATGGACTGTTTTGACTATGCTTTAACTCTTGCTGGAATAAAAACTATTTAATTAACACTGTGCCTCTGTTTACTGAGTGTAAGCTACAAAAAACGATATCTCACATATTCTGCCTGCCTGCCTGACTGCCCTGCAGATCTTGCTAGGGGTGTATCCCTAACAACAACTATGAATAAGTGTTGGACAACAAAACCTTTGATTTATATAATTTATTTTTTGTTGTGTTTTATCACATACAGTAGCATCACTTAGGACCCAGCATATTTTCTGGCTTTACCCATTGATCAAATTGTTCTGCTGTAAGAAATCCAAGTTTTATAGCAGTTGCTTTTAATGTCATCCCTTCTTTGTGTGCAGTATTGGCAATCTTGGCTGCTTTATCATAACCTAACAAAAAGAAAAAGTATATAATTTTATTTTTGATTACACTGATTTACATTGCTTATCAATACTCTAGGACATGGGTGTCAAACTCATTTCATGATGTTTTTCCCTTTGTGGAGCTGGGGTGGGTATGGCCTGCACGTGACACATCCGGCCCATTGGCCACTAGTTTGACATCCCTGCTCTAGAAGAACAGTTATCTGAAAACAATGTAATAAATAATATCAGGCCTTCCTTTTTCTCAGTGAGAAAAGATACTATATGGATTCACACATCCTATCATCTAACAAAATCTGTTTCTCTGTGTGCAAATGAAAATATAAAGATCCCATAATGGCAATCTTTGCATGATATCCTTCTATTTTCTACTTGTAACTCTCCAACAATTTATAAAAACAAACTTTATGTATTATTCCATGTCTGTGAAAATATATCTATTTTTAAATGTCTAAATTTTTAGCATATATATTTAAAATATTGATTAGATACTTACCAATGTGGGGATTAAGGGCAGTCACCAACATCAATGACTCATTCATTAACTTATTTATCCTCTCTGTATTGGCTTCTATTCCAATTATACAATTATCAGTGAAAGAGACACAGGCATCTCCTAAGAGTCGTGCAGAATGTAGCACATTTCTAATCTAAATAAATTAAAAATAATTAATAATTTAACAAAAAATTGTTCACTTGGACATTGATTAACAAGAGCTTTATCATAAT